TCTGACTTTCTTTTGTCTGGTAACGTCTCTTCTTAGTTGAGTTGCAAGCAACAAATGGCAGCCACATACTACAGATATCTGGTATATCTAGTACATGCTTCAGCAAAAATACTTTTAAATGCTGCTGTAGCCTACTCACATGCAGTTCGGGTGAAAAGGTTGATAATTAAACACAGCGCCAGTATAAAGCCTACATACTGACCACACGTACATTTACTGCTAATGTCATGGAGTCCAATAACTTACAGATGTTAAAGGCACCAAACATACAAATTAAAATAATCCTTGAATGGGAACTCCTCACCAAAATGTTTCAGACCATATCTATTCATACAGAACAGCTACATGTAGTGATAAGTTTAAAGATGGTCATTAAGTGGTTGGTGCAACTCTTACCTCACAGACTGCAGGTTTTCCTGTGTGGAGACTGGGACCGTGAGAGAAGGAGTGAGTGCTAGGAACACACTGGCCCACGTTTATATACCAAGTTACCTTAGAGTTACCGTCTTATCTCCTAGTCCGCTTAAGTACCGTCCTAGTTACACCATCACTACGTGAAATCTGTTGAAGCCAAAAGGTTGATAAGGGATAAATTCATAACACAATGCATCATTATAAATATAATCTCATTCATACAGGGATAATACTGGCGGTGTCCCCAGATTCATAATCCCATGAAAGAAGACCCAGAGGGCCTCGGATCCCGTTGAACACTGGGATCTTTCCATTCTACCCCTTGTATTCAAATCTAATACACATGTTTACAACAGCCGTGATCAGTACAATGTTTGAACACATCTGCCACACAGGTACTATACACTGTGAGCTACTACCAGCATCTGGCTAATGTTTGTTTCACCTTTTCTACTTTCATGCAAATTATAGTTGGAAGGGTTTTCAGTGCAAGACATATTAGCACATGTTGTTTACGTCGGTGTTTGTTCTGCTGTTAAAATATTACCAAGTTGGCATTTTTGTTATTGTTTGTGAGTGAGTGAGTGAGTGAGTGAGTGAGTATGGTTTTACGCCGCTTTTAGCAATATTCCTGCAGTAATCAATAACCACTTCAGTTTGTTTAGGTTAACGTAAGTATTCACTGATATTCAGATGTTAACCGACGTGAATCACTCCTGATTTCATAGCATTTCTAATATGTAACTGACGTCTGCTTGGTTTATCTTAAACGAGAGTCTTGGGTATGACTGATTCAGTACCAATGGCATGTGAGCTACAGGCAGGCCACACCCCTGACATTAGCAACATCACTGGTGGAAACGCTACTGGTTATTTTCTGCAGATGGTGTCACTATGTTTTCACGTACTCCAAATGAGTTTAGCATTCCAGTTAGCAAAAGCAGTATATTTCAATTTCGTGGTGAATTACGTGATTAAGACATTTCTCAGGTAAATATTATTTCAATAAATATCCTTGGTAATGATAAATACATACTGTTTGATAGATAAAGTATCTCGTATACCTTTGTTATGTTTTTCATTCAAACACAAATTTTCTCAAAGACCGAATTTATCACTGTACACTCGCTTTCAGAGCGTTTTCTGTCTATTTGCAGAGTCGTTGAAAATGGGCATATCATCTGCAAATAATAATATAATCATGTGTCATGAATAAATATTTATTATTTTACACGCAGTATTTTGCATATATAATTGAAGGTTTTCAGTGAAAACAACAACATGAGAAAAGAGATAATATGTCCCCTTGCATTAATCCAGGTTTATGAACAAAACCATCAGTGAAGGTATGTCAATATTTTATACAAATTTTGATGTTGTACCGATGTTGAAGTCCAGTAACGAACCGAAATTAAACAACTGTGGAGCAAAGTTAACAGTCTTAAACTGGTAAAACCCAGATTGCCTTTAAGCCCCCTTCACAGCGTATTAGTGAAAATACCATGTACCCCTATGTACAAGGGAAGCTACTCTTCCCGCTTTACCGAACACGTTTGTATTCCTTTCGTTCAAAAACATCTCACAGGTATACTGCGGATCGACCAAGGCTGGTTGGATAATAGACGATCGTTAATATCCACATAACGACTTGCATCCTTTCAACACAGCACACTGACTTATATACTCTTCAAAACAAAGGCTGAACTTTCAATTTGGAAGTATAAGCGTTAGAAACAAACTTTTCAAAAACAGACATCTTATGAACGCACCGCCATTTCTCTTTATCACCACCCCAAAACACAACGCATGGGATGCACGTGCACAACGCAGTAGCCCCATACACGTGTATCTGGTGTCATTCTTGATCTTGACACACTCAGGGACTCGGAAACTCGGTTTCTCTTTTAAATAATCCGTAGTGCATCTCCCATCATTTCTATTTCTCCTGACAGTGATTGCTTTAGATGACTCTTGTGGTAAGCCTGCACTACCATGTTTTAGAATCATATTGCAATAAATACCAGTTTAGTGTTAATTTTGATAAGACTAAAGTGGTTGTTTTCAAGAATAGGGTTATCTCCCGAGAAGGGAAAAAGTGTATTATGGACAGAAATGACTCGAGTGCGAGCCATTGTGGGATACGCATACCAAAAATGCGGCTTCCCGGGCTAGGAAAGTTCTGTTAGACATATCAAGGATATTACATAGATTTAACCCAGTTCCGTTTCAAATTATTCTTTAGGATATTTGATACTAAAATTATGCCTACTTTCCTGTATAGGTCTGAGGTTTGGGGTTTAGATAGTGTAACAAATATAGAAACCATTCATATTTTTGCATGTAAACGCTTCCTTGGAGTGAAGACACCAACTTACACAGTATTGGGTGATTGTGACAGATACCCTTTGCATATTTTTGCATTTAAACGTTATATAATTTTTGGATTAGATTATTATATATGCCTAATCTAAGCTATCCAAAGAAGTGTTATAACATTTTTTTACAATCAGCTAATAATGGCAAAAATAATTGGGTTTCCATGTAAAGAACTTGTTGTTTTGACTTGGATTTGGCTATGTATGGGAGTCACAAACAGTAAGTTGTAAAGAATCCTTTATAGCAGAACTTAAGGCAAGATTAAAATGTTCGTTTGGACAGGACTGGCACTCCTCTCTTTTCAGCAGTTCTCAAACTAAAAATTATACTTTCTTCAAAGGTACCTTTGGAAATGAATTATACCTCAAACGACTAACAACTCCAAAAAATTCCGAGTGGCAATGGCTCAGTTTGGTTGCCGTTCTCTTGGACTCAGAATAGAAACAGGCAGATATGTTAATACTCCTGTAGATACAGGAGCGTGCACTGTGTGTAATGAAGGCTACATCGGAGATGAATACCATTGATGGTTTGTGTCCGGTATAAAACACTGCGTGAGAAGTACATACGTACTAAGCATACCCAACGCGTAACAAATATAATATGCTTTTGGCATCAACGGATGTTAATGTTGTTAGATAGCCGGTCATGCATATTTATTATGCAATTTGCTTCAGAATAACTTGTTGATGAATTATTATTCCATACAGATATATTTTCATATACGTTATATGTTGACTGACTACCTGTACGAACATGGGCCGTAGGCTTACATTCTTCATGAATAAAGATCTATCTAATGACACAGTCATAAACCCGAGGCAGTTGCCATCCAGAGAGCCTACCCTGGAAAGAGTGAGCCCGTGCTGATGTGTTATGTCACTTCGCCAAGAAGCACAGAGCCATCAACATAATCAAAATTGACATTGAGATTAGCTCGGATTTACCAGACTGGGGAGTGCTTGTTTTCATCCCGAGCCGTGGCTTGCTTCGAAAGAAAATCATCAGACAAATACATGTTTGCGAATGTTCACAGTATTTTCCTGTCATTACTTTACTCAAATGAAGCCTTCCTTACATATATTTAATAAATGTGAGCGAAACAGGGAAGAGCGAGGGTGGGAACTATTGTCCTGAACTCTTCCTGTGAGGATGTTAAATGTCTTGTGTGGCCTAATCACCAAAACCAAAAGAATACAAAATCACGGGAGCATCGTGGTTGTGGCAATTGTGGCTTTGAGTTTATTGCAAGCATGCAGTTCTGAACTTCAGATTTCTGCCCGAAGTTTGTCATTCTTGACTTTGATCACAGTAAGTGCTCATCAAGAAGGGACTGTCATCATTAAACTGTCTCCTGTTACTGGCTGAACCACGCTCCTACAATAGTATGGGTGGGTGAGAGCATGCGACCATCTTGTCCAACTGGACAAATCGAGCGTTCATTGTTGAATCCGGAAGTGCCTGAAAGGTATTGTCTTACTGTGGTATTTTGAGACTTTTTGTTTCAAGGGCACATTGTTTTACAAAAATGAGGTAAAGTCATAATCTGGAAGTGTATTCAAGTTTTATATTTTGTTTTTAATATATCTCGATGCATTTGCCTTTGTGGTTTGAAGGTTTTCTGCATTAGACATGTGTTTTCACAAGTCAGAAGTCGTCACAGGAGATGAGTATATACGTTCCAGAGGAAAGGACATTTCAAGTTTTTAACCAAATATTTTCATTTGATAGGAAGTGCATTGATATTGGCTTTGTGGAATGAAAGTGCTTTGTATTCTGGTTTGAAGTTGTGTACCTCAAACCTATGGCATCATGCTTGAAGGACGTGCAAATGTATCTATCACCTTCTGTTTTAGCAGTGCAAGCAAGCACTTAAATTGTGTTTGACCAGTAAGACAGTCAATCTTGGGGATTTTCCTCATTCCTATTCTTCAGTTGGAATTCTTATGCACATCCAAGCCGTGTACAACTGGATTGTTATGGCATTACAACCATTAGACATTTACCAAAGACATAGGGCAAGGTGCCGGTAGGACATGCAGGACTTTGACAGCTGATTTCCAAACAAAATGGAACTGCCTGGCTACGACTTCAACATATGACCAGTGTCCCGTTTGTCGTAGTCTCAGGAGACAGTGCCTCAGTTAGTAGCATTGGTGAATGATCACAACGGTTTACTCTTCTTCTCAAAGAACATAGGACATCACGAATTAGTTTATATGATTTTATTTGAAAACATGTACAACTACCAAGGTCAAAAGACCTCGTGTGATAATTTACAATGTACTTGCTGATGTATGAACAGGCTAACTGAAACTCAGGTGAGTGAATGCTGACTGACTAGAGTCGGTTTATCATTGTCCTGATGCAAGTCCCTAACATGTTGGCATCTGGAATATGGGTCCAACTTTGGGGTCCATAGGGAACCCTTTCCTCATTCCCATACACCACTGGGAGTCGATGCGGAGACTGTTCTCCTTGACGGAGATGTCGTGTTCCAGAGTGGCCTTGGTCTTCATGAGACGAGCAAGAGACATCTCGGAGGCCTTGAGACGCTCCTTCAGGATGCGGACAGACTCACGGATCTCGCGCACTTCATTTTGCAGTCTGCAGTTAAAGAGAAGAATATTTAACATTCATAGAACTTAGGACTAAATATTATCTATATTCATATTTGTAGTTATTAGTAGAGATGTTGAGGCTTTTTTGCAGGAAATATACTCACGAGATCATGACGGGGTCGTTGCAGAGTTCCACATTGATCCTCCTGGTTCGCTCGTCAAGACGACTCTGGGACACCTTCATCGGCGCCTCCTTGTCCTTGATTGCCTTCCTCAGCAGCTCGATGTTCTTCTCCATGTCGAAGATCTCCTGCATGGTCTGGAGGAAGATAGGACAGATATATTTAGTGAGTGCAAAGGTCACGTGGAATGAAACAATTTGCTATATTTCTTGTCACATTTGGTAAATTTATTCAAACTTGTGAGCAGCTTTTGTGACATAGTTGATGCAAGGTAAAGGTCGCTCAGTAAAATCCAGTACAGCACTTAAAAATAATTTGGAAATATTTGGGCCAATGATCAAAGTATGTGGCTCAACTATCACTGCGTCCGTGGAAAGGACTGCTCCATTGTGACTTCATGCAACTTACCCTCTGCAAGTGAGCCTGCAGTTTGTTTCTAGCGTCTTCTGACTCTCGGATTCGGGTGTTGAAGTTGTTGTTCACAGTGTTGAAGTTGCTCCACATATTGGTGGCGCACTCACGGAGGCAGGTGTCAATAGCACCGCGGAGTTTCTCTGAGGACGCCCTCTCCCTCTGGGAGCGGGCGATGTTCTGTTGGGTGTACTGCGCCCAGGACGCGGGGAGGGTGATTCTACAACAGAGAGAAAGCCGTCAGCAACAGATATCTCACTTACAGCCATAGGATGTCTTTAGTGTTGTGATAACAGACAGTACACTTACGTGTTGTCGATGGCCTCGATGCCGGGGTAGTAGCCGATGCCGCCTGTACTATTCTTGAGCTGCTGCATGCGGTCATCCAGATTCTGGGCGTGGTGCTTGTCCTTGGCGTCGATCTCCATAGCGTGCTGGGCAGATCGGTTCATCCTGGTGGTGAGATGGTGACCATTGAAATACCGGAAATACTCACTCCAAGAGCTAACAGCTAAATATTTCCCCTCATATATATTGCTATTGAGGAGCCTGTCAAGCTCTTCTGTAAAGTTTCATAGTCTTCCCACAGGCAGTTAGTTGCTCACCCGATTTAATGGGGATTATGCTTTTATTGGAATTCAATGATTGATGTGATGGACCCCTGCCTGGACGAGATTGCCCGTCAACCACCAAGAAATGACTGACGAGGACGTAAAATACAATTCACTGATTCCACACTCGTTTTGGCCAACTAAGCTACGAACGCCTGGATCTGACTGCTGTCCAGAAGACGCGAGATGACCTGATGTTACCTACTGCGCCAGTTCATACTATTTCTCATGTATTAGCTACTCACTTGATCTGGATGAAAGCCTTCTCAAGGACCTGCTTCATTTTAGCCTGGCACTTCCTGATGACGTCAACTTCCTGGCAACACACAGTGATGGACAATGCAGTCATTGTACATGCATTCATTGTGTACTTTGGAGCGTTAGACAGCCGTGGTTCTACTAATGTGTCTGTTACAACACAATCACTAGCACACACACGTCTCATATACAGTCTGTATTGTGTGTTTGTTGTAACAAAGTAAAATGATTTAGTTAATGTAGGGATTGTGTCAGCACTGATCACGGACTGACCTTCACGAGACTCTTCTCCACTTCATCATTGACGAGGTCAATGCCATGCCTCTTCTCCCTGTGCATGAGACACTCATCGGCCACGTTCAGAGGATTGGCGGTGTCACCTAAGGCCTTCTCCAGGGTGCGTTTGTACTCCTGGAATATATGAGAACATTTTATATTCGATCTACGATACAGAGGCTTGGACTATTGTGGTCAGTATGTCTTATTGAAAATAGACTCCGGTCAAAAAAGGATGGAACAGGAGGCCATTCTGTCACCAGTCTTTCAATAGCTTCTGATGGAGAACAAAGGACACCATCACTCGGCATGACTCGACACCTCACCTTCAGGTTCTCTGTCTCGGTGGCCATGGCGCAGATCTCATTATTCAGTTCCGTCTTCCAGAAGGCGATGTCATACACACGATCCCCTACAACGGAAGGGGATTGTATTTAGCCGATCTGTATTAACTCTAACTTGGAGTAACTTATACCTTTACAGAAGTAAATGGGTTTCACCCCAGCATAAGGGACCATCGAGTGACCCACCTAGCCTCTTGGTGACGTCAGTCTGTCTGTTCCTGGTCTGTGCATCCGTCTCCTTCACAGTCTGCCAGGCGTCAGCGCGCACCTGCTCGGCAAAGGCCCTCTCTTTATCCGACATACTGAAGTTGACGTTGTTGGAGAGGGACCAGTCGGAATGGGTGTAGCGAGCGTTGACGCTGTTGCTGTTGATGTAATGTACAAGTTGATAAACGAGTAGGTAGGCCTATATCATCAAACTATACATGCTGATAAATGATGCCATAATTTCGATTTAAGATAGTTGGTCTGAGTAGTGAGAGGATATGCTGACCCTGCAGGTATGGTTAATTAGAATGGAAGTTCAGAGTTGATGGACATCAAGGGATGTATGCCCAGTATGAGACAGATGAGACAAGATGAACTCACGTGGCTGGGTTGAAGTACGACTTGGCATGAGCCCCGCCTGCACCACCAAGATGGCGGGTGACCGTCTTGTCGGCCACGTAGGGCAGGACCCCCATCATTGGTGTAGCACTGCTGTTTCGGGCAAGGGATGGGAACTCGTAGGAAGACATGCTGTAAGGGAAACAGCGATATATTTAACACAGAACAAATAAAGGACTTTTGCATGATTATAAGTTCAGCCTTCTATCAACTTGAGCTAGCAACGGAGGCAAGAGGGCCATAAGGAAAACATCCAGAAGTCAGCACTGAACTGAACATTGACACATGTTATCAGCTCCTTTCATGCAAGGATGAATGAACTCCCAATCAAGTGTCGATCGAACGCGACATTGCTCCACCTAACGCCTACCTCCAACTTTCCACCCGGATCGGATTACCCGAAACAAGATATCAAACTTGGTACCTTGCCAAACTGGTAATCGTATGAAGCGCAATCGGGTGTGAAAACACCATGGCTATAATCTGTGTTGAGCCACGGAACCCAGTCAAAGCAGTTGGTCGCTGCCGTGTTGCAAGGTCAAGAACAGTTCAATGTCTTGCCATGCATCGTTGTCTGTCCACTATGACGTCATGACCAATATTTCTGTAGCAAGTTTTAAGAGTATCAATCTTCAGGTCTATAGTTGATCCCGCTTACTGCGAAGGTAATCACTGGTCGTTGGACTTACCGAGTAATCCAGCCTTTTGTTACAAATTATTCAAGACGAGGATTACAGGATAAACTATAAGACATGTGAGGTAATATTTGAGTACCTGTATTGTAAAGGGAAGCATCAATGTCCTCTAACGTTCAGTCTTGCTCGCTGATGACATGACAGTGATCATTCTCTTTTGGTTTGACAAAACAGTTTGGGTTATGCAAGTTACCTAATGAACTACATATAACGATTAATTAAATATAAAACAAGTATTATTAACACAGCGAAGAATGGCTCGGCTCGGTTCGCCCCTTTAACAAGTACTGTTTATGCCATTCACACTGTGGGCTGAGTAGAAGATAGTTGCCTGCTCATGGAACACACACAATGACCCGTATTGATACTGTAGTTCTGGTATATACTGGTTATATTACACGGCACATTGGGCAAAGAAGGTGTATTGAAATCATGGTGGCGAATGAGAGTTACTTCCCTTTTTGACGTGGAGACAACATTAACTTGTGATAGGCGGCACTCTTCAATGGGTTCACCAATTCTAACTACGATTCACTTCACTTAACAACAACATAGGATTAAAGCATAGTTACAACCCTTTGCATGTCTTCAAGAGGGTTTGTGGTAATGCTCGCGGTGCATAATTTAATATTGTTAGGAACCTGATTGACTAACACTAGAGGTTTTTTATGGTCTTGAGTTGAGTTCCAACAATAGCCTGACTGACTGACTCGTGCATTCAACAGTCAATGTTTGTATTGGGGCAACATTGAGTAAACCGATCGTACACGACTGAATTGTTGAGACTGAAAGCAGGGGCAGGGGTTAGCGCTAATCCGTGACGAAATGAAATAAGAGAGATCTAATCTGGCGTATGTATAACGTGAGTGGCTTCGACTTGAGAACAGTGTGTACTCTTGCGTTGTCACACCAGAGATTCATTTACAGGAATTTAGATGTGAAATGTATCAATGGCCATTACCCAGTTTTCATGTATATATAACGAGAAAAGTATTATATAAACTATGCTTTTGTGATACATTCCCACACATATGCAATTTATCACGAAATTGATGATACTAGTGTGATCAATAGCAGATCAATTTGATCGCTGAATAATTCACGTAGTATCGATCATGCTGACATGTGTACTGCTCAGTAAACAAGGACGGGTATTGATTATGTATGTAAGAAACGTCCTGAACATGCTTTCAAAGTTGTTCTACCACTTTACAAAGTTAGCAGTCAATGTTTGCTTCGCTCAGCCAGACCAGCGTTAAGGCCAGGCTGTCCTTATTCACTTTCCTTTTGTTGGTAAACATTTCCGTTTTGTGTCATTCTAAAGACTTAATTACCCTAGGTATGGGCTATGTGTAACTATGACCATTGTGCCGAGGTGACCACGGGACAGATGCCATGTGGGAATGACCACAGGTACAGCTTTGTTGCTAAACAAGACGCGATGTTAATGTCACTCCAGGCAGTCAGATCGATTTCTTTGAATTACCACACACTTGATGTATCTTTTGAGATGATCATTGTCCGGGAATTGGTGGTGAGGGTGGTGGGAGTATGACGAGGGGGTAGGCGGAGGGGGGTCGGATAGGGCTGACTGACTGACTGAGTTTAGTTTTACGTCGCTTTTAGCAATAATCCAGCAATATCACGGCGGGGGACACCAGAAATGGGCTTCACACATTGTGCCCATGTGGGTGGAGAGGGAACAATCAATAATATTAGTGAGTATGGTTTTACGCCGCTTTTAGCAATATTTCAGCAAGATCGCGACGAAAGACACTTGAAATAGGCTTAACACATTTGTACTAATGTGGGGAATCGAGCCCGGGTCTTCGGCGTAACGAGCGAATGCTTTAACCACTACACTACCCCACCTTCCCCATCAGTAAAAAAATTAGTGATAAAATACTAGTTATTAATTGGTTCGAGATTGATTCATATAGACTTCAGATGATAGGTTTTGCCTATATACGGACTAATTGCACCTCCATTGGAAATAGTACGGAGTCAAAATAGGAACGTAACATGTTTTTGGAAAACATTCTCGAATAGGAACCCCTCACCAAAATGTTTCAGAATGTATACAATTAAATAACACATAATCCAGTTGTCAGAATGATCCACAAAAGTATTTACAGCTGCAGAAAATCTGCAGGTATGGTTGGATTTAAGCACAATGTTCACAGGTTGGTTGGTGCCACTCTTACCTGACAGGCTACAGGTTTTCCTTGTTGAGGCTGGAGTTTGAGGGAGTGAGTGCTAGAGACATACTGGCCCACGTTTATATACCAAGTTACCTTAGAGTTACCGTCTAATCTCCTAGTCCGCTTAACGACAGGCCTAACTACACCGTCACTGCGTGAAATCTGGCTTAAGCAAAACAGTTGATATGGGATTAATTCATAACACAATGCATTTTCATCTTTCTGATACAGAAATAATACCGCCGATGTCCATAACATGGCGTAAGTAACAGTTTAGAGTATGAAGCCAGCCATATCATTGGCCCCGGTATAAATAGCCCGCGATATCGAGGCAACGATCTAACAAAGCCCTAGTCCGTCAGCAAGCAAGTCACACACTAACGCTCGGCACCTTCCATAGCCAGACGCTACCGTCTCTTTACCAGGTGAGTTCAACATGCCTTATTACTCTAAATTTTATGAATTATTGATATTTGAATTACTTTACGCATGGATTAATGTTGTAAGGCTAAAAGCTCTGTGTTAGATTTAATGACAGTTCCCCATTTCACGCCACAAACCCATAGCAACCAGACGCCATGTCCTTAGCAACCGAACTCTAACTGATTTATTTAATTTCATAACTTTTTTAAACTGCTTAAGTTAATTGAATATGTTTTCAGGTAATATTTGTTTCTTATGTGAGTAACTGGATAAATATGTTTTTGCTTATTAATATTGGAAAGATAATACACACTGCGAGGATCATATGTTCGTCTAAGGTGAACTCCCGTATGGCCAACAGATATTTCAGTCCATGATTGTGGGTAGACATTAGACAGTAGATATATTAAATCTACAGTCATATATGAGTAGATCTCTGTTGAGTCAAATCAGATGCCATAAATACTAGGTGTAATCTCAGTGACTGAGATTCCTTAGTTATCTAACTTCGTTTTATCACTGTTATTTATGGGGGCTGCTCGGAGGTCTGTCGACAGTGACGACAGGATTTTTAAATGTCAAACTCTGTGTCTCCATGTCAAATGTTTTGTTAACTTTCATGACATGAGGTTGACGCTGATACTATCTAAAACTGCTTTCAGTGGGTAGATATGTATGTAAGCAAATAATATGTTATATTATCTGATCTCTCAGCTAGTTAAGCACTTCATTTCCTTGGTGATCCACTAAAGCCAGTTTTCAACTGAGATCAGTATCGCTGATTGTTCAGTACATATTCAGGAGACAAGGGTTAATAATTCACACAATCCTGTGTATGTAAGCATTACACCTGATGTGTATATGATCAACTAACACAGTAAATCAAGGCCTGTGGTAGGTGACTGGTCGTTTGTCGGCCATCTGTGAAGTGGCTAGATCTCCCAGTAGAGGATTAAATCTATTTGTTCGTGGGACTATACCCGTCAATACCTTTATTGATTTCTCTGATCAATATAACAATAGGTTATCTCCCTTACATAATAGCGCCAATTGCATGCGATACACAAGTGACTGAGTACAGACACCCAGTCAAATGGCAATATGTTCAGGTTACACACAAGTCATGCACGACTCATCTCAACCCTATGTACTTGTGACATGTATGCATCACTGTTGCCAGTTTGTTATCCCAAGTTTCTTGCTGCCTTTACGTTTCACCACAATCTACCACACCACAATATATACAGAATAAAAAACAACTTAGGGATCATGGATATATTGTGGGAGTTTAATGGACATATGCTCTGTCATCACTACAAATAAATACCTATATATTTATAATCATTTTGTTCATCATGTGATCACATATATGATATATATGAAGAAGCCCCTCTGTTCTGTTCCATTTTTTTTCATCTATTTTCTGAACACAGTAATCACGGGGTTTTTTCATTAAAATTCAAGAAGGGGATCTAAGTTGATTTTTTTTCAAAATTGTCAATAAACATACAGCGAAATATATTTTTGAAAAGATCAAATTACTTTGGCTACTCCAGGTACATACGAAGTCACTCGTATGTTATATATTTCCTTATTAATTATATATACATTCGCGGGGAAGTGTTTCGCTTACTGCCTCGTAGTGTGAATATAACAAGCCCTTTTGGTTGGCATCTGATCCTAACTGCTATCAAAATCCATTTCAATGTGACCAAGTCATGTTTTCTTACAATATAGAAAATACTCGTCTTTCAAGAAAGTCAGTCATGAACTCAGCATGTTTTATTCATATGTTAAACCCGTTGAAAAGACGCAAGAAAGGTAATCAACGAAAATACAAATTCTTAAAGCCCACAAAACGAAACCTACAATAGTGGCTGACTGTGTATGCCTGTCTGGCAATGTAGTGCTGGGGATGATGGCGACGCGGACCGCTGGTATCAACATTGGACAAGTATGTAGTGCTGAGGGTTTATTCACCTTATCATCATACTGAACATATGTAAGACAAGTACTGGTAAATCCATGCGAATGAACCCTACCCTATTACTATATAGGGTAGGGTCCATACACCTTTATTTCTCTCAACGCTGTTTCTAAGCGAGACACGCCCCTGTGTGCGAATGTAAGAGTTGAAGTTTACGACCGCTTCCGACAATGCTGTTTTCGCACTCATAATACACGATACGTTGACAAAGGAGTCTAAAAGTCACCTAATGGCCACAATGACCCATCACGTGTTTAGTATATTTGACCCATTGGTCAAAGTGATTTGTTCCAATAACGGTCCTGTCTCATCCAAACTGCCCTTGACAATCGATCGTACCTACTAGTATATATCGGAAATAATGAGACCCGACATTAAATTTCCCCTCACTCACCAAACATGAAACCAACCCCACCCCACCCCACCCCGCAGTCACTCCCATCGAACTCCCACGCCGCACCCATTTCCCGGAACATATTATACATATAACGGTTCAGCAAAATATAATGTACCCAAGCCCTAAAGCTGAACGTGCTGATCATGCTATTTCGTAACCCATGTGAGAACTGATATTTAATCATTAATCTATAGTTACACGCCTTTGTACACAATAGTCGGGTAGTTAAACATGGGTTTCGGTCACGTCATCCTCGCGGCGAGGTAAAGGCGTGTGATTAAGCAGTGAATTATAGACACACAGGGTAGATAGGTGTTGTTGAATCACCGGTTAGGTCGCGTGAAAGGCAGGGATCTTCTGTCAGTCCCTGGGTCGTCACTATGGAACAGGTTCCTCCCAGTAGGTGGCGCCACCACTGCGTACACCGCTTCTAAGACAGGTAACATATAGGGCTCAGGAGTCTTCTATAGTTTACAACTCGTCCCTGTCTGTCGCAGTTCAGTTTGCTGACAGCTATATTCATATCCAAAAAAGGATTTACAAATATTGGCTGAGACGAACAAAGTTCCCAAGCCTCGATACCCATCTATAAGCTTTGCATGACATACTATCAACATATGCTGTGTTACATATAACCCGGAATTCAAATGTTAGTCTAATATGTATTTATACTATTGAGCCAACTAATAAAGTTAAAGGGTATTGTTGCAGTGAGGTATTGTTCGTGTAGGTGTGATTAAACACGTCCTGACCTTCTGCAGCGCGCTCGGCTTGTTGAGATTACGGGGTCTATTGTAAGCGGCCACGCTAACCGCTACTGGGTCAGTTCTCTGTGACCGACGACTATAGGAACGCAGGTGTAGATATCCAAATATCACTTGTATTGTGGTTATTGTTTAAGAGCGTGAAAGACCCATGTACCATCTCGCTTAGGCCAATAGAAACCTGTAATGTATTGCTGGGTTTGTTCAAGACAACATCCCACAATGCAACAGAAACATGTACAAATAACGCAACGGCAAGGGATTGCCTTGTAATGCATTAATGTTGCTGGCCGAAGGCTCACAAATGGTCTGTGTAGAGGGTATGTCTTCTAACAGCGCATACATGTAAAATGGGGAGCAAGAAGTTTCGTAGCCCTGTCCGTATAAGAAAGTATACTATTGAAACATGTTGAAAATTCAGTTTTGTAGACTTAAAGAACTTAATCCTGTCCCCACAGACTGAGGTTAAAGCTGAAGTCAGTTCCTTCCATCATGAATAAGTAACACTGGTCAAATTGGTGAGCATAATCAGAGTAATGATGGCTTTCAGTCGTATTGTATAACGGCTACTTAACGTTGTCACGAGCATGTATGTATAGCCGGAAAGTCATGATCAGCGTTTGAATGATGCATGTTTTGCAGAAAAACCTCTTCCTTGAACATGAAAGTCGATTCGTGTAACGCTATCACGATCGATGAAACACACGTATAGTTTACATTACACCAGTGTTTCTCTTTGAGTTGCTATTCTACCGGAAGTAGTTGCTACATTATGTATGTGAGTATACCCTAGTGGATGCCGATATGCGTGCCGGAGGGTATATTGATCTAGGGATCTAAGTCGGTGATTTGTCTCAGCACGCAGTCAGGGGGGAAGTCAGGTCAGAAACCCTTTGCCTCGCGATCAACCAATTCTGACTTCCGCTGTGATCCCAGCTCGCGAAGGTGAGGATGACGTGTACCAGAAGGCCCCGAGAATCTTACCACTTCACGAAGAACTTCAGTTTAGGAATTTGCTCTTGAGTGCCCCTAGGCCATAAAAACGACCTTAGTAGACACTCAAACAGTTATGGCACTGTTCGGTAAAAGAGTCGGTTTTGACAAGGATCCATAATTCAATGTTTTTAACTAAAGGGAAGCCCCTGTTTGCCGAAACGGTGTCGCTAAAGTTGCTGCCGAGACTGGATTAGTTTGTGCTGTTCGAGAGATAGCCAGGGGAGGCCCCAGTTCAGAGACTACAAATCCCTTTCACGTACAAAGTCCTTTACGAGTGTTGGTGATAACCATTGGTATTGTGATACGGAATGTAAGCTACTTCAAATCTAGTTTTCTTCATCTATAATAACGTGGTATGTGTGGATGAGAACAGTTCCTTTGACCCCTACAGTCAGACCGTCCGTCAACACACCGTCTCCCGAGAAGGGCGGGTATAGGGGTTATTGCTCGTTGAATCATCAGCTCACTCGGACAAATTAATACATTAAACCTTCACGATTGTAGTACAAACACTTATATCCGCACAAGTGCCTCTGAATCGAGGTTACGTGTCAGCAGGGATCTTGTGTCGCTCTCGTAAATTGTTTCATATTCAACTTTTCCTCCTTGGCCATGTCAGAGACAACCGAAGGTAACCGAAGGCTCTTAAAACCTGATTCTCTGTTTCCTTGGTACATGCTCGTGACGTACATACACTTAGAGTAATTGATCAATCACTTAACCCTTATCTTCAATTATGAAATGTTCAAAGATCGAAATCCATCACATGTTCTTAAAGATCACGAACATATGCAAGGAAAGTTTCTTGTCAGTAAATATATACAAGTCATTAAACAAATATGAACTTGAAAACTGAATGTTTGAGTATAAAGCAAGTGAAGATGCTTAGTTATGTTGGTTGCTAAGGCAACAAGATCCCAGGGGTCTCGCGGGGGGTTCCAGCAAACCATCTGGAACGCACGGGGATTCGGGGGAAGAAAACAAGTAACATCTCTAGTGAATAGAACATTAATTATATAGATGTGACAGCAACGTGACAATACACAGCTCGTGTCATCTTCCGCTCATGTGACATCCGAACATGACGGAAGAGCGAGTGTGTTGTTTGTCTACTCAATGAACTTTCTTATCTGAACACACGCATCGATCAGCCGGGCTGTATACTTCACTATAATACATGATCAATGATAAAATACATATTGATGAATTCACGATATTTGATTATTACCTCTGAAATATCCTTCGTTGTTCCCCACGTGTGTCGCCGCAGACCTTACAGAGGATCGCCCACGGTGAATTTGATTTCTCTTTATCATGTTTGGATATATGAGGCTCGCAACAGCAAGGGAGTAATTAGACAACGTTTCTGTTTAATTTTTCAAGCAAAGCTAGCAACGCCGTTTGTTGCCATGGAGTCAATTGAACACTTGATCGATACGATAGCCAGCTATGCAGCTGTGTTCCTAACTACCTATATATAATGTATAGTATCATGGAACTAACAAATGTCTGATTATATTTACAGTGTTTGCATTAATCCCCACAAATATAAATATATATTTGGATTAAACGAACCGTGAAGAAAGCTTGCAATACTTACGTCGATAACGTTTACACTTTACGATCGGTTCTTGGTGGCGATAGATCAGACTTCTCCTTGTATGAATCATTAAGTCTTCATTAAACTTCTCTCTCATCTATTTAATGATCACTGTTCCATTTACCTAAGACTTTGCACGTGCTACTTAGAAGTTTGACCATTGTAGCGAGGTATAGGTTTGGCGTTTTGAGTAGGTCTTGAGGGTCTCGTGTTGGACGACGTACTATCAAGAGATATATGACATGTTGATCTCCTTTCTGACAGAGGGCAATAAATCATGCAATACTTTATCACCTCCCCCCAGCAACAGACGAGGGAGACCCCGATCTGTAGTCTGGAGAGCTGACGTCACTTGAAAATAATCAAGATATTGTTATGTCAGGTCCCGATGAGCAGATGGCACTTGGGCAAAGGGCGGCAAATATTTCAAGAGGCCTGAACTTATGTAAGACAAATCTGCTTAAATGTCATTTAAAAATAAAAAATTCACTTTCACCGGAAGTGGAAGTGATATTGCGCGCGCTGTTCACGTGACTTGTTGCTAGGAAGTCTCTGTGTCAACATGGTTGCTCGGGCAGATTAGGTTTGCAGACGACAGAAATCATTTTGTTTGACTACAGCAGAGCACATCAGACGTTGTGTTGATATTGCTTAAGCTATTCAGCAGCCATGAGTCGGTGAGTCTTTATGTCACTCATTGTAGTACATAGCAGGTGTTGTCTAACGTTGACCACTGCTAAAGAGGGCACCAATGGCCATCAGTGTTTTACTTCAACATTTTACCATTGGTGAATGCCAGTTGTAATATACAACCTTATGGCGATCTGTTCATGTCGCCATGACTTGATAATAATTTTGTAGATGACATTTGATTGAATTTCATGGGAGGGAACCTACTCCTACATTTGAATGTCTGCAGTCGACATTACCATCGACGGTGTTAGGTTATGAATAAAACAACGCTGTGGAAGTAGGGATGATGAAGCTTTGCTGTCAGATAAGATGGTGTAGATAAGGATGTTGTGTATCCATGGCGTCCCTCGTGACATCTCATGCAGTGATGCTTGTGGTCGATCATCTAACATACCGATATCAACCTGTCGCTGTAGCAGGTTTTGTTGTTGTGCACGTCTTGATGTCAGATTGCCACATCTGCAGATACAGGGGACGATACGCCTTGGCTTCAGTCCCAGAACGACCTGCTTATGTACAAAGGATAATGTTACCTGGCTGGTGCTGGTGTTAGCTTAATGTCATCCGAGATAAGAAAAATACTTCATGGATGATATTCTAGAAAAGGACAGCACTTCAGATATGTTATTCGAGAAATTGGAAATGATTCAAATATGAAATGAAAACTACAAGTACTTCAAATACGATATTCGAGAAATGGAAGATATGTTATTCTGGTAATTCGAGAACATGAAAACTGATGGTCTTCAGCCATGTTTTTCGAGAAATGAAAATATTTTTTACGCTTTTATACTTGATCTTATCTTAAGTAAGCCGTGTAAAATAAATCATATCGTTAACCGAACATTGTTATAAATGACATACCAGTTATCTAACTACATGTATAGCGTAACCAATCTGTGTTCAGGCTGTCTTAGTGTAGCACCACACCCCGGAGCCTCAATGTCAGATATGCCATTGCACGTCAGATCACGTTAATGGATCCTAAAGTTCAGACATGAAACATATAAGATGAGTGGGCGGGGATTAAAAATTTCCTATCGTGTATTTTCTGTTGGCAAATTTTGTGTTTAAAGAAATTTTCGAAGTAGGTCAGTAATTCAAATCAAATTACTTACAGGTCACCTCTTCAACCCTCCGTGATATTGCTGAAATATTGCTCAAAGCGATGTAAAACTTAACTCACCTCTTCAACCATTAAATACCATCTAAATGAAATCACACAACACTATGTATTTTTCAATTTTGACTTCCACCATTATCATTTAATTATAATTTGATTTGTTTATTTAACTTAAGCATTTTCACGGTTTTGCATAATGATATATTCAAGAGAATAGAGCAGCTTGACCAAAGCTTATTGATGTAGTCTCTTTTTCAATATCCACCATTATCATGCTTAGTCTGTCTTACGAAATAACCAATGAATTGAACTAGAATGTAGAAGCCTAATATTGAAAGTTGGACGTGTTCTATCTAGTTCAATATCGATTTGATGGCCATCCAGCGTGACTGCCCTGACAGAGCTTGAACTGATCATAGAGACAAGACATTTCATATATATTTGTTTGTGGAAACCTTTCTCGGTGCATGTGTACCTGATGTCGAGTGATGCTCTTAGTGAGGCAGGTCGTGTCTCTCCATCATGGCTGGCTGGTTCACGATAAACGTATCTTTGAACATACCGCGTAAAACATATGACAATGAACGGCTAGGTAGAATCAGTACTGGAGAATTCTTGCTGTGTTCGATTTGATCGATTGGTAGATGTAATCGGTATAGGAATAAACTAATTACAGTCGTTTAAATGCTGGTTGTGAGGCAGCCAGTGACTGTGTCAAGTGGAGGCATGGAGAGCAGCAATTGCCGGCTGTAATGCTGGTTGTGAGGCAGCCAGTGACTGTGTCAAGTGGAGGCATGGAGAGCAGCAATTGCCGGCTGTAATGCTGGTTGTGAGGCAGCCAGTGACTGTGTGATGCTGGTTGTCAAGTGGAGGCATGGAGAGGCAGCAATTGCCGGCTGTAATGCTGGTTGTGAGGCAGCCAGTGACTGTGTCAAGTGGAGGCATGGAGAGCAGCAATTGCCGGCTGTAATGCTGGTTGTGAGGCAGCCAGTGACTGTGTCAAGTGGAGGCATGGAGAGCAGCAATTGCCGGCTGTAATGCTGGTTGTGAGGCAGCCAGTGACTGTGTCAAGTGGAGGCATGGAGAGCAGCAATTGCCGGCTGTAATGCTGGTTGTGAGGCAGCCATTGCCGGCTGTAATGCTGTGAGGCAGCCAAGTGTGTCGGGTGGAGGCATGGAGAGCAGCAATTGCCGGCTGTAATGCTGGTTGTGAGGCAGCCAGTGACTGTGTCAAGTGGAGGCATGGAGAGCAGCAATTGCCGGCTGTAATGCTGGTTGTGAGGCAGCCAGTGACTGTGTCAAGTGGAGGCATGGAGAGCAGCAATTGCCGGCTGTAATGCTGGTTGTGAGGCAGCCAGTGACTGTGTCAAGTGGAGGCATGGGACTCAACCGGTGAGAGCAGCAATTGCCGGCTGTAATGCTGGTTGTAACAATGTTATCAGGAGGGACTCAACCGGTGTTATGCGGGCTTAAAGACTTAGGTTGGGTCAATCCTGAACAATTGTCCAACCTACACAATGTCACGTATCAGTAATCCCTGGCTAGTGGACCGACTTATTGTGTTCACAAAAAGCAAATTACTGATAACTTTGAAAATTTAATAAAAACTCCTTGTATTCTGAGGCAATCTCATTTTCATCGGTCTTTTTTTTCGTTTGAGGCAAATACGGTCATCATGGCCCATTGTAAACGTCAGAAACTGAATTTGTTAACTGTTTTCAGTAATATATTGCATGTCTTAACGTGCAGGTGTTGTGCATACTTATATGGAGTATATGATGATTCCTCAATATATTTAGGAGGATTTGTTTGTTTGTTTGTTGTTTAACGCCGCACTCAGCAATATTCCAGCTATATGGCGGCGGTCTGCAAGTTATTGAATCGCGCCTCACCCCAGATCTCGTCAGTCGCCTCTTCCGACAAGCATGGGTTGCTGAAGACCAATTCTAACCCGTATCTTTACGGTCGGATGAACACGCAGGTTCTAAACATACGTATATTGAGATTCCACTGGTTCCACAACATATTAAGGATGACCCCTCAGGTGTTTCGCGCACCTGTATAGAGAGTACGCGAGCTCCACAATATGTTTAAGAGGAACTATGACATATTTGTTTGTCTCCTTGTTGGTGTTAGCTGTAACTTATGTGACCCCTGATCTCCTTCAGCATGTCCTACTACGATTACCCCGCCGTTGTGCGCACACGAAGCGCCACTCCCATGACGGCCGAGATGTCCAAGCTCCTTCCTTACGTCACTGACAAGACGATGTCCCGCCATCTTGGGGCGACAGGACGTTCCATGGATATGGGCCACGCCAAGTCTTACTTCAACCCCGCCACGTAGGTACCTTCAACTTTCACCCCTTACCCCATTTCAGTCAAGGCGTTCTTTACCCTATCAATCCGTCACCAACACATTGGACCTCTAAAGCTTAAAGACGCTCTGACCATTTGATAGAAAATGGCTGTTATCTTATTAAAGCGACTCTTAGCCATGTGGGCATTGGTTAGTACCAACCAACCTTTGTTTTAGTTTCAACCTGTGCTCGTGGACTGTACCAGTACATTAAGCACCCAGATCATCATCAGTTTGGCGGTCCTTTTACATGAAGCTGATGCCCGTAATGTGACTGAACTATTTGTAGCGACGCTAATCCCAACGTATACCCACCCCCGTTCTCGATCTCAGCCCGGTCAGTCCCATATCTGTCCAAGCACCGGTCATTTGTTTGAATGACGTGTTTCTTCCTCCAGCCGCAGCATGTACTCCCGTTACTCCCACAACGACTGGTCCCTCTCCAACAACATCAACTTCAACCTGTCTGAGAAGGAGAGGTCGTTCGCCGAGCGGCTGCGGGCTGACGCTTGGAGGGCCGTCAAGGAGACTGACGCCAGGACCAGAAACAGACAGACTGACGTCACCAAGAGGCTAGGTGAGACAGGGTTCCTCCCTGCCCGGGTTTAGGGACATCTTGTCAACAGGAAATGGTCATGTAACTAACGACTCCTTCAAGATTAACTACTTCGATATTCATATTTACCATGCTATTTATCAAATGCTTATAAAACACTTTACTCATCTTAGATAATGATTAATGTATTTGTGTAAAATGATATGACACCAACAAGTGGGTTTACGTACGGTGTTGTGGTTCATGCCTTTGGGTCCGTCTGTTCCTGCAGGCGATCGAGTGGTTGACATTGCTTACTGGAAGAGCGAACTTAACAAAGAACTAAATTGTCTGGAAAGAGACACTGGTAGTCTTCAGGTATACGGCCATATATGGTGGCGCTTCTTCGCTCATCTCTAATCTCTTTACACGCTTCTTCCTACCTGTTCACTTATACACATTCAAACATGTGCTCATGTGCTTAGATAACGGATATCAAACCAGTAACCATAGGCGGATCCCAGAGGGGGGTTGCAGGGGTGCGCCCCCCTTTTTTTTATCTTTTTTTTTATCCTGAAAGTTTGACCATTGAAACACTCGTGAAAACGGGTAAAAAATGTGCTGTGCACCAAGACCACCCCAACTCCCCCCTTCCCCTTCTCAAAGAGCTGCATCCGCCTCTGGCAGGAACTGAGCCAATGCATTTTATGACTCAATATATATATATGCACATGAGCAGATGTTTTTTCTCGGTGTAAGATGTAGTTGACCAATGGTGTTTTTCCCTACTACCAGGGGAGAGGGTGTATGACATCACCTTCTGGAAGAGCGAACTTAACAATGAAATTAACGCCATGGCCACCGAGACTGAGAATATGAAGGTAATATGGGGTGGCTACTGTTGTCCCCGTGTGTGTCCATGTTCTGACCGCCTGACCAGGAGAATTACGTAGAACAAATGTGTCACTTCCTCATATGCTGTCTTTGATTCCAATTCCGTTATAGCCATTGTAGACTTAGTTGTTGTGTACTCACATCTGTACAATAGACACGTAGATCTTCTTGTCGTAATCACTTTCCATACAAGCTTTTTTTAAACTCCCTTAACTTTTGTAGCCTTCTATATTGCAAAATACTGGCACGTAGCTTGTATACACCAAGCATCACCTAGATATTACAAGATATACATCGTCTTACATAGTAGCGAGTGATCTTGACTGTAACGTTTAAGAAACTGTTTCAGACAAATTTGATTGTAACGGTAACTATCTGTGTGTTTGACGTGACATATTTTTCAAGTACAATTTTTCCTGTTAATTTTTCGAATACGTTTACCAAGTTATTAAGGTTGTGTAGTATCTGGAGTTATTCCAGGGTATATGTAGAATAGCGCACGAGTTACCCAACCATACGTGTCTCATAGGAGTACAAGCGCACCCTGGAGAAGGCCCTCGCTGACACCGCCAACCCCCTGCACGTGGCCGAGGAGTGTCTCATGCACAGGGAGAAGAGGCAGGGCATTGACCTCGTCAATGATGAAGTGGAGAGGACACTCGTGAAGGTCAGTCGGTGCAAACACAATTGGTACATTTATTAAACTTGCAGATGAAGTAGATGATTTTATAATAATTTCATATTTTCATAATAATATTATACAATAAAACAAAAACATGCAATATATGACCTTTATCAGATGCTTAATAAACTCATACTGTGTAATGTTTGCCATGAGAATATCACATAAGACAATATGTCTATTTTCCAAATAGCAATGTTCTATGTAATGAGCCATCTGTACTCTCATCAAGGAATTACCAGCCTATTCCCTTGCATGTTCAATGACTACATTGTCCACCACTGTGTTGCCAGGAAGTTGACATCATCAGGAGGTGCCAGGCTAAGATGAAGAAGGTCCTGGAGAAGGCTTACGTCCAGCTCAAGTGAGTAACGTAGCCTAGAAACACCTGACCAAATGTGTTGACCCCCGGGAGAAACACCTCACCAAAGGTGTTGACCCCGTGGGCTAGGATGCTAACAACTGGTATCAACATCACTACTTGATACTGATTCAGAAACTTATGTCTTATAAAGATGAAATCGGACTGCATATTTCCTATGGCTATGGAAACAGCTTTGTCGCTTTTATTAACTTGTTAATAAGTTGAGCGTTAAAGGACTGGGGCTTGTCAACCTGTAGACTCGACGTAACAAAGGACCCAGAATACACATGCATGTCGCTCCTTGGCACCAGAACAAAGTGTCTTGGACAAAAATATTTAAAAAGAAACGCTTGTTTCAAAGGACGACTTGACTCTTCAGGAAACTAAGAATGGTCGATCATTTACTGTGGCTTACTGTGGTTTGTTCTGCAATACTTTCACTGATATCTGCTCGTCTCTAGGATGAACCGCGCTGCCCAGCACGCTCTGGAGATCGACTCCAAGGACAAGCACCACGCCCAGAACCTGGATGACCGCATGCAGCAGCTCAGGAACAGCTCTGCCGGCATCGGCTACTACCCCGGCATTGAGAGCATCGACAACACGTACGTCCTCCTTCTTGCCTCGTTCGCGAAGAACATGTGATGTTATTTTTTGTTATCCCTCCTTTTTTTGTTACGCATCCCTCTTTCTCCTCTCATGGAAAGATTATCATCAGAACTCTTTCTAAATAATGATTTGTAATGCGACGCATAAAACCCCCTTCCTACAGAGCAATGGACAAAACATAGTGATGGAGTGATGTCCAGTCTGTTATAAATGCCGTCTTGTGTTCCCAGCCTCTCCATCCCTGTGTCCTGGGCACGCTACACGCAGGAGAACATCGCCCGTTCCCAGAAGGAGAGGGCAGCTTCCGAGAGACTGCGAGGTGACATTGACACCTGTCTCCGCGCATGTGCAAACGAGATGTGGAACAACTTCAATTCGGTCAACAACAACTTCAACACGAGGATCCGCGAGACGACAGATGCCAGGAATAAGCTGCAGGCTCACTTGCAGAGGGTAAAATTTTATATTGCTTAAGACGATATTAATCACTGTCATGTAAGATTGAGATGTACTGGAGTGTCTGTGCTGCCCGATAAAATTTACTCTGTGTAAAATTTTTTACTCCTCTCCCCTCTTCCTCCAGACATGCAGGAGATCTTCGATATTCACAACGGCTCCTAACAAGTTTCACAACAGGAAATACAGGATTTAGTTTTCAGTACCTGATGTTCGCAGTCAAAACATCACTCATCAACTCTTCTCCCTCTTCTTTCAGACCATGCAGGAGATTTTCGATATGGAGAGGAACATCGAGCTGCTGAGGAAAGCCATCCAGGACAAGGAGTTGCCAATGAAGGTGGCTCAGACCCGTCTTGACGAGCGAACCAGGAGGATCCATGTGGAGCTCTGTAACGACCCCGTCATGAAGTCGTGAGTACATTATATAAGCATACTGAGACTGGGAGAGTTCATACTTCCTGTGCTGATCGTGTCATCAAACAAACGACAGGACTCCTTCGTTATCTCAAGAGGACCTAGATGAGCTCCTTACTGAAACAGTTCCCTCGCCATGTCGAGGACCTGGTTTTGATTACCCATCTTGGTATACTGCTCCCAATTTCTAGTGACCCAATACAGATCTTCCTGGTATATTGTTGACAGATGCGTATGACGTGCGGACGATTCGTAACTCCCAGTAACTACATGTATGCTTCTATCGTAGCACAAGACAACCTGATTGACCGAACCCGTTGATGCTAAGAGTAACATGCAAATCCAGTCGTAATATCTAGCAGAAAATGTTTCCCAATCGTGCTTGCTCCTCCGTGTAGTAATGAGATAGCTAGAACCCCAGTCAAGGCGCCCCTCCTGAGCTCTCCTTTGTGTTTTCAGACTACAGCGTGAGGTCAACGAGATCCGTGAGTCTGTCCGCATCCTGAAGGAGCGTCTCAAGTCCTCCGAGCTGTCTTTGGCGCGTCTCATGAAGACCAAGGCCACTCTGGAACACGACATCTCCGTCAAGGAGAACAGTCTCCGCATCGATTCCCAGTGGTGTATGGGAATGAGGAAAGGATTCCCTATGGATCCTAAAGTCGGACCCATATTCCAGATGCCGACCTGCTAGGGACATACACACCAACCTAGGACTTTCATAATTGTGCTCAATTTCTACCCAAGGAAATTTGAACAATTTGCATCTTGTTATCATACAGCACTGTTACATCTGAGGTCAGCGGACCCATTTGAAGGATACGCGTGGAAGCGTATCGTGTTTTTGCAAAAAATTTGGTACTTGTGAACATGTCTGTTTTCTCACGCTATAGTCTTTGTATTGCCCGACACCTTCTGGTCTCAAGCCTTCAAACAATAGTCAGCGGAGGTCTGATGGACTGACTCCTACTGAACCATGTGATAACCTGTATATACAGACAATTGCTGTGATATATAAACCCATATGTGAGCCCAGTAACCCATACCAAGTCGGTGTTTTTATTTGTTGTTCTCGGGCAGAGAGGAATCTAATCTATAAAATTCATACTGTTTAAAGTTTCTAAAATAATTTGTTACCAGAGTTTAAGCATGTGTATTTCTTTGTAGTAACTGCATCTGTGTTTGTTTGGAATCATGTTGATTTATCGTATCCTTAGTGTGCCGTGAGTAGAATATTGCCCGATCAAAATCATTTTTAGCTAGAATATGGCGCTTTGCCACCAACCCCAGTCACTTGCTCATACCATCATTACAATCTGTTCAGAATTTGGTAAAGTGCACCGGAAGAGTTCAGTATTTTGTCCATGTCCGTTTACCAACAGGATTATGCCTAAATAAATCTTGCCAATTGAAGGTGTACATGACAAACATTGTCGCAATCGACACCATATTGTCTTTCACGTACAACCATCGAAACTGACCGGCATCAGTGGAACAAATTGTAAGGCTTGCCGTCTTGCTATGGACATCCGGTGACTTCTGCGCATGACCAGCTGACATGCGCAGACACAAATTCTGTCTTTTTCGTCATTTAACTATGAAACCGCATCAGTATTACAGTTTTCATACAGTGACTAAATGTTCCAAGGGCTGGCGTTTCACTGCATTGTTTATGTTGATGTTTACTGTTGTTTTGTTGGTCTATATTTGTACAATATTATTGCTTGGAATCTGGAGGTTTGTTTGTAAAATATCCACCCCTGAAAACTCTTGACATTTGTACAGCTAACGTTTGCACAATAAATTTAACTTATCAGAAAAATATAATTTGTCTTATTTCAGTACACGTCAGTATATTCTTGATTTGTTCATGCGTGTTACCAGACCTACAATACCGGCTTGAGCGGAATCTGAGAGTTTTACTGGGAGCAGAATAATTAATTTTTGTCACCGCTGCTAGATATACATTTACCATTCCTGGTTCACAAAATTCTTTCCTCGTCCACCATGCTCACCGAACATTTTTATATACTCGAGAATTTTCAAAGAATAAATGTAATGTCTCTTTTTAAACCACGACTTTTCAGCGTCCTAATGGTGGCCGCACAGTATTACTACAGCACGTCACGGGTTCATTAGAACACCACGGGTAACACAATTGTTCCCGGAAAAACAATCACCATAAAGCATGTCGGCATTTTGTGAACATGACATCTGTTGGTCGCAGAGGATTACTTGTGTTAAATAGTTTGTCGATAGCTAATTAATGTTGCAAGAGCAGTCGATTATCAAGTCAACTATATGTTAACTAGAATCAATACATTAGAAATCAAGTGAAATGAATGCTCTGAGACACTTTACTGCTGATAGAAATTAACCGTTTAGCTAGAGAGTGAAGACAATCGTGCAAACAGATCCCTTGCAAACTGTTACGAATAGTTGTCTTCAGATAGTATGTAAAGGGGCGCAACTCGTGAGTCTTGGATGGCCCTTCAACGAAGCCTCTCACGGCGATATATATTCTGACGCTTAGCCACTGAATAATTAATATATAATTCTGAGAGCAACAAATAATTCCATATCAATTAATAAAAGAGCTCCAGAACCTGAGGAAATGTACACTTGCTTCATTTAGGGCTTTAGCATTGCAGGGTGGGCTACACAGTCTGGGAGGGCTTTAGCATTGCAGGGTGGGCTACACAGTCTGGGAGGACTTTAGCATTGCAGGGTGGGCTACACAGTCTAGGAGGACTTTAGCATTGCAGGGTGGGCTACACAGTCTGGGAGGACTTTAGCATTGCAGGGTGGGCTACACAGTCTGGGAGGACTTTAGCATTGCAGGGTGGGCTACATAGTCCGGGATGATTTTAGCATTGCAGGGTGAGCTACACTGTCTGGGAGGACTTTAGCATTGCAGGGTGGGCTACACAGTCTGGGAGGGCTTTAGCATTGCAGGGTGGGCTACACAGTCTGGGAGGGCTTTAGCATTGCAGGGTGGGCTACACAGTCGGGAAAACTATGTGGTTCAGGGACTGTTAGACAGACTAGGCGATACACCGTTCGCAGAGGTCTCCACAATGTCACAATGACGAAAGTGCACCCTGCCATGTGAGTAAGAGATATACATGAAGCAAAAGTCCTTGATTTGGGATGACAAACTCAAAAACTGATTCTCTAGTTAGCTCCAAGGGTACAAATCGATTATATATCTGATGTTCTTCATATACAAACACACTCACGCGAAATATATAGCTAAAAATGCGTGGCAGATGTAAGGTTTAGTGACAGACTGTAGGCACATATAACACACTTATTATTGTACACTCTTAAAAAAAACCGCACAGCTGATTTTGAGAATATTGGATTAATGTAGCTGCGGCAAAAACAATATAAATATCCTATTTCTTTCCAAAACGTCATCTTTGTGTGATTGTAAACAGCTTCAGCGCAAAAACGCGGCAATTGTAACTTTTCCCCTTATTTTAGAAGCGTTTGAAGAAATATTCGCCAAAACGTCACCAAGAAAACACGCATGGCAAAATGCACGTGCAAGTAAACGGAAAAGCATGCGGCATTGATCACTATAAAAAGGCAAACGTTGTGTTTAATCTTGTCATTCGTTTTTGCCTGGAAAAGAGGAAATCATCATGCCACGACTGAGTGCCGCCAATCGAAACATCGCCATAGGCCGCCTTGAAGCTGGGGAGTCGCAGTCTGCAGTTGCCCGACATTTCAACGTTCATCAGAACACCCTATCTCGCCCTTTGGGCAGTTTCCTGCAGACCAATTCCGACCAAGATCGCCCGAGAAGCGTCTGTGCAAGAGTTGCCACCCAGGGCCAGGATCGTTACATCTGGGTTGTTCACTTGCGTCATTCTCTTACCCAGATGTGGAGACTGCACAACGCATCCCTGGTTTGAGAAGATTTCCGACCAAATTGCGTGAAGTGGGGATTCGACCAAGAAGGCCAGTTGTCGCCCCTGTTGTGACAGAGTTCCATCGGCGCCAATGTCGTAGATTCCACAACTGGCACCTTAGAAAGTGCCATCAGAGAACGTTCATCAGAGCACCATATCTCGCCTTTGGGATCGTTTCCTGCCGACCAATTCCGCCCAGGATCGCCCGAGAAGCGGCCGTCCAAGAGTTACCACCCAACACACATCCGGTTTGCTCACTTGCGTCATCGTCTTGCCACAGCCGTGGAGGCTGCACGACGCATCCCTGGTCTACTGGCAGGAATCGATTGCGTTAAGAGGGGATTCGACCAAGAAGGCCAGTTGTCGCCCCTGTTTTGATAGACTTCCATTCGGCGCAGTAGATTGGGGTGGTTCTGGTTCTGTGATGAATCACGATTTCTTCTTCACCGGCGAGATGGAAGACAGCGTGTTTACCGTAGGCGAAATGAAAGGTTTTGCCCCTTATTGCATTCGACATGTATCGGATGCGATTTCCAGCACACAAAGATCTCATTTAGTGGTGGTCAAGGGGAATCTGACAGCAAATCGGTTCATCAATGAAGTCCTTGCACGTCAGATGCTTTCGATTATGGACCGACAGAGGGAGCTGTTATAGCATGACAACGTTACTTCGCATAGCACGCGGCACGGTCCGCTACCTTGCCAATTCTAACGTCAGTGTCTTGCCATGGCCTTCCCGATCACCAGATCGAACCCGATAGAACACCTATGGGATAAACTCGATCGACGTGTACATCAACGTAAAACACGCCTCAGACATTTCCACAACTGGCCATCGAATTACAGTAAGAGTGGGGAAGAATTTCTCAAGAGCGACTTCGTCAACTTATCCAGACCGCAGTAATTGCTGCCAATGATAGCCATACAAACTATTGACTTTGACGCCATCTTGTGGACTCAAGTAAACAGAAAACGGAAACACAACAATAAAGGGTACCAATAGACGCGTGAAGTTTCACCTTGTGTCCATTGAAATTACGCGAAATAATTGCCCTTAAACTTCGAGAAAATAATCGAAGCAATGAGAACTTTCGCTTTTAAAAAGAATTAATTTTGCCTCAAAGGGGCAGTATTAAGCTTTCGTAATTCATGTATGCTAGTAGAATCAGTAAGTCTTAGATTAAAAGAAAGATCTTAGTCCACTGTTCTTGACAGTTTTCCAAATCAGGAATTACATCTAGCACGCCCATGTGTGGCGTTAGCAAGTGCAAACTGTGGTTAGATGTGAATTCTGACATAGACGTTCTTGCATAGGGTGTTTACCGTCACTCATTCACACCAGTGCTCAGATCGCCTTATTGGACAAACCCAGTCACGCGCTGAAACCAAGACCGCCTAATTGCTTGGCCTCATATGACATGTGAACCACAGGTGACCGATAGAGGATATGTCTTCATTTTGTCGAACAACCCCGCTTGTTTACTATAAAGACAGCATACATGCACACTGTGTTTTAGCAAGTGCATGGTCAGATGTAACATATGTTATATTTAGGTTACCATGTACAGGCGATGTAGTGCCTCACTCTGAGAGTGTGGGTTTGAATCCAGTTGGGATCATCAACGTTAGGTCTGATTATTTGGAGGATCTCGTGAGATAGTAAAGTCCAATGAATTGCTTGAATACATGCCTAGTTCTCTATCAGTATCAGAAACCTCTGTCGGCCAACGTTTTGTTTTGTCAAGGCAGGCATCTATTTATTTAAATACGGTAGATTCTTTCATGAAGATACGACGTGTAATTTGAATAGAACGTGTGTAGTTTGCATTAACTGTTGTAAGGAGACATAAGTCAACATGTCATTGTGCTATAACACGAAGAAAATTAGAATTCATTTCTTCAGTCTTAATTAGGTTTATTCAACATAATATAAATGTTACAAAATAAAACATAAACATCTTGAACAATCTACAACATTTAAATAACGTTTGTGTATAAATATATTTATAAATATATAGCATAACATCCTTTAGCATGTTTTTTGTCCATGTATGAAAAGAAACTTCTATGAATGAATCGGGTTTAAATCGTGAAGCAAAAGTGTTTTAAGTTGAAGGTTGAAGCATAGGGATAACGGAAGATACACAGGTGTGGCTCGAGCTTGCTCGGTCCAGCGATAATACAAGCAGATGGAAGGGTTCTTTCATCAAGTAAAATTATGTATTTCACTGCATCAGATTTCAACGGGAGATAATTTGGTGCTGAAGATGAGCTACAGGTTTGGAAGTGTAGCTTGTACTTGAACATACGTGTGAGTCTAGATGACCAGGGGACGGCAGGTGTTAGAGCAAGGGGATCATCAGGATGGTATTGAGGATGATGGAAGAAGGATGGTTTTGACGGAAAGATTGTGGAGGCATTTGATTTACCTTCTTTTCAATGTCACATCCAGTCCATCCTGTCTAATTCTCCTAATCCATTTATTCATGGCGTCTCCTACTGACAACAGAACCTCTAGACATCCGCCCACTCTCAAGTTTTGCCTGGTGATCGACCGGGACACTGCCGACGGAAGATGCTCCATGGATTGGCGGTAAAACAAGTGGGATCCTGCTACGTCGCCGGCTGGGAGCTTCTTTCCGGGGACCTGATGGTGGGGTGGGGCAGATGCTCGCGGGGGAAGGCAGATGTGTTGGAGAGTTTCCTCCCTTCTTCTCTAAGGACGCTGTCTGCTTGGAGACGTTCACAATTTTAGTGTTGCCTGAGATTAGCGGCAGAGATGTCGTCTGCTCATTCCTAGCTTTACCTGTATATGGCCGTCTTCGCGTGTGGCCTTCAACTGGAGGAGATGGCATCTTCGGGGTCATTGCTGCCCTCTTCTCCTCGAGTACAAGCATCTGTCCGT